TACGGAAATCATAAAAATACCACGAACCAGAAAATCGTAGAATTTCAATGATCAGCATTTAACCACTATGCATTCAGTTTTCCTCGGTAACTCACACTGATGCGAATATTTTTTGCGGTTGAAATATTCACTCGCTCGTAATTAATAGTCTCGCATTGTCTATATGTGTGTTCAGCAATATATTATTTCAAAAAATTTATATATTTAAGAAAAAATTCAAAAATATTCAAAATAAACGTATCAATGAAAATAAAGATGCAATAAGTATTCCATGAAGAAATGTTGGAAAACAATTACAGATCATCATAAAAATCATATTATATTATAACAGCTGTCAAAATAACTAAAAATGATGATTATTCTTCTTCTGATTTTATTGTTAGAAAAGAATTGTTACATAAAATTTACGTCCTTGTCTAAATCGTATTGAATAAAAATGTTACTAAATTTTTTATGATACATTAATTATAATAATATGATATAATTAGTAATATTGAAATCATGTAAAGTGCAAGCAAAATTTTACTTTGCAATTTAATTAAACAGTAACATATAAATTTATTCACATATAACATATAATGTAATAACACAACAAAATCGCAGGAATACAGCCCCGAGCGACTCATGAATACTCCGGCAACGACAACCACTTTTCGAGATAACCAGTTCCCTAATCTCTCTCTATTCGCCTCCGCTCTTTCTATGGTCCATTATTCATTCCTCTTTCTTTTTCTTTGTCTCTTCGTAAGCTTGAGATTAAGGTTTTTTAACGAGTACACGTCGTGTTCATGTTTAACCGAATAATTACGAATATGAAATTCTACAAGCTTTGAGATTCGTAAAAGATTTATTTGATAGAGTTAAGAAATTTAATAAATTATCGCAGATAATCATTAAAAAAATAATAATATATTAATATTATATTACAATTATAAATCGATTTTGATAAATATTTCACATTATATTCATTCTTATTCCTTTCTCGAAGAAATTTAATTTAATTTTCTAATTAAGATTTAATTAGTGCAAATATGTATAATCGAGGAAAACTCTTATATGTTACCATCTTTATGTACTTTATACGGTTCCTGTGCTTATAGAAAAAAGTGTGATTGCGTAGTAATTAATTACACGTTGCAACTCGTTAAGAGTGTTCGCAGAACGCCGATGATCAACCATCAACAACGCAGGAATATACTTCTTTCTTCGCTTTTCCCGACGACGCTTATTACCGGAGACTTTTATCTAAGATGTTAGTTTCCAAGATCCAACGCAAAAGGAAAGCGTCTTAATTAGACGGGAAGAACTTTAATTAGACAGTACGCTTAAGTGACACACTCAAGAACGATCTTTATCAAACTTGAACATAAGATCGTAAAGAAGAAGGAAGAAAAAAAAGCGTAAAATCGATTTTTAAATTTATCGCAAACTGTACTTAAATTTTTTTTGTATTATATACGAATAATGGATTTTTCATATTAAATAAAATTCAACGTTAGGTTTTTAAAAAATGTATCACGTTCTTCATAAAATCGCCAATCAAATCGTTACACGTCAGTACAAGATAATCATCTCTCTTTTGTCATATATATCCACCTTCATCCACTTAGCTTTTCAATTATCAAGCTCAACTGTTATACGCACAGTTTGCGGCGTCCCGATAAACTACCCTCGAAAATCCCAAGCCTGACGAACACGAACCCCGAAAAATACGCCCAACCACGAAGGCTTAACATTTCGGGGGTGGTATTATCCGCGAGTGGTGGCGGGCAAATCCCCAGTTCTGCACAAGCTAACGCTTCGCTGGAGCAGATTGGCGGAGGAGATCAACGAAGTGGGCAGCAACGACCTTGCGCTTCCTGGCTGAGTTTAATCAGCCATACCTATCCCGTGCTACTGCTATCCACGACTGCACCTTGGTGCGGCGCACTTAATGGTACTTATCCTCGCGAGGAATTGATGTGACTGGAAACTCGCTGTAAAATCCGCTGTTAAACCGCGGGACGAAGTTGAGTCGTGTAGTCAGATACCATAGCGACTATACGAGTTTGAAAAGCACGATCTCGATATATCCTCACTGCACGAGATTCCGAGAACTTGCAGATTAGACGACCGAGTTATTGCCATTGGATGTTTCTGTACGACTAATTCAGATGACATACGAGATCGCATTCAAAATATTAAAAGATATATATGTTGTAATATTAATTAATTATATCGTGTGTGTGTGTGTGTGTGTGTGTGTGTGTGTGTGTGTGTGCTTTAAAAATAGTTGTAATAAAAATATTTTTAATTTTGAAAAGTCAATTTCTTCTCACATAAACAAATTCAATTATAATTTCAAACTTACCTTTGTTGATTATTATTCGCAGTAGGCATAGGAGTTGGTACTCTCGGTGGTGGAACCGGTATAGCTTTTCTTCGGCCTCCACCAGTTTGATGCACTGTCGGTGTTACTCTTCCGGTTGGCGCTATTCGACCGGCGGTCCGTAGTCTTTCTGTTCGCACTTCCATAGTATATACCTATAAAAAATATAAAAGAAAATATTTTGTTATTCGCACGAAAAAATTGTATGTTACTAAAATATTTTTAAGAGATATAACAATAAAGTATATAAATTTATACAAAAAATAATTTTTTTATACAAAATAATTATATTATATTTACATATATTCATTATATTTTATATTTTATATTTTATGTTTTTGTTATTCAAATTAATAATTAGATATTTGATTGCCAAAAGAAAGTATATTATCGGGGAATCAAGAAATTGAAATGAATAGAAAACGGTCGGCTCAGTTGTAAAAGTATCGCTTCTCCGTAACTTCAATGGCGCCGAAGATCACAGAAATGATGACTAAACTTCGAAAAGAGCGAATGTTTGGAAAGGACTGACAAGAAAAATGAAAAAGGGTTTACCGGCCTGCACAACTACCAACGTTAAAACTTCTGCTTCATGGTATGCGCCTTCGACTTCGCAGTTTACCTATCCCTCGCGCGCGTCTGTTTCCCTTCGTTTATTCAAACTAGTTTAACGCGCCAAGCGAGTCTGGATACGATTCAATAACGTTACCATTAACTTTAGTTATCACATAATACGCGTAAAAAGTGTTTAGAAAAAAACACAGAATCAATATGAGCGATGACATAATTCTACTACTCTTGAACCTGTATCGAAAATGAAGAACGTGACTATAAAAAGATCAACTATAAATAAAAAAAGTTTTTAGAGTCCAGACTTATTTATATACAAGTGTATCTATATCTTTCATCTATAATCTATAATCTTTTATCTATCTCAAGACTTCTTAAAAAAAAGAATAATCTTTTGCACAAAGTAAGTAGGTAAAATGCAGGTACGTGCAAAAAAATTCAAAGTTTAGATACTTAACTATCTTCTTATCCACAGTCAGAAGAAAGAAGCGCACCCATACAATCTCGCTGATAGCAGCATTTTTATCGCGAATGCTTTACTGTCGCAAACGTGAACAACGTCGGCAAAGGAGAAGACGAAAAGAAAGGGGTGGCAGACGGTCGGTGTGCGATCATTATTTTCCGACGTGTGTAGTCCACATAGGATAGGGATGCCGATGAAACAATGCACGCCAGCAAGTTGGTTTAAACATTCAGCCTCCGGCGCGGATCGCGCCATTCGTGCTCACGTGCGTACGGATACAGCAACTTGAGACGAAGCCATGTACAAAAAAAAAAACCAAGAACAGTACTTCGTAAGCGATATAACAGATATGACTTATTAATAAATCAATAAAGTTCAAAATTTAGAAAAAAAGACGGATTCCATAAATATAGAAATAATACAAATTATTAAGAAGTTTTATAAAAAAAGAAAAGAAAGATAGTACTTACAGTATTTACACTTTTAATATCTTTTATCTTTTTTTTATTATAATTATCTATATTGTTTATATTACAAAATTGCAAAAAGAAACATGTAAAAATTGTTTCTTTATCAAAAGAATTACTTTCGATGTCCTTAAAATAAATTGTCTTCCGCCTCGCGTTAAAACGAAAAACTACTTTTCTATCTCACTATACATATACTTATCCTATGCTATCTTTGTTTCTTTCTTTATTTCTTTTTTCTCGTGCGTGTGTGTCCGCTGCACGGATACGAAAATTTCACGATTGCACGGATTCACATGCAAAAAAAATTCATTTCGCTGCATGAACGGAGGCAAAATATCGCGATGTCGGTGACTGTCGGAGACGACTCGAGAAAATAAACTCCCGAGCAACGGAGCGACACCGGCGGCGACTGCAACTTCACAATGGGGAGCATCTGCTTAGCAAATTGCGAAAAATAATAACGTTTGCGCCCAAATCCGTGACATAGGAGTCTGCTCCGTGGTACACATCGACAATACAATAACACCCACTCGTGAAACTACGAATCCGGAGGCCGGGAAGGGTGAATGCGAAAGCGGACAACGCGCGAGGGTGAGGAGGATAAGAGGTGCAAAACAAGCGCCGTACAAGCTCCCCTACATAGTAGTGCACCCGCGAAAACAATATGTCACATATATAGGCAGAGAGTCACGCGTACACGCGTGTACTCGTTACGCGTGACGCCGAGCTCCATTCAGTCGAAGGCGATTCCGGGACTTCTTTATGACCCTCACTTCCGTATCTTTGACAGTGCATCGTCATCAGTCTTGCGTGCATCCTGCCGAAAATTTGACTCGAGAACTTCATGCTTTCGAGTCATTGCGATTAATCTGCAGTGTTCGATATTCATATAGAAATATAGATAGAAATCAAGTTTCTTCATCTTAAAAAGATATGCTATATTGGTAGTTTGGAACATAATTGTTAAAAATTAGCCCAGTATCTTCTAGAAAATTAGAAAAAAATTACAAATTTTATCTTAACATAAATTGCTTTAGACCTATATATAAATATTTGATATTTTTTATCAATTTAATCACTTAAGTACGTTTCTTAGAATATATTTAACTGTATATCTGATATGACTTAAAAAAAGCATTTTTGTTTTAGAAAAACGAGAAAAACAAGAAGAATGCTTAGTTTTATCGACCATCGTAATCAGAGAAGTTACGTAAATACCAATCAAAATTATTGATTCTCCTATCGCTCACGTTTGGTGGAAATGCACAGCCAATGTTTAATGCGACATAATACGCTGGCATGACTAATTCGTGCCATTATCAATGATGCTAATCGCTATCTATCTACGAGGATAATGAATATCGCAAATTAATAACGTTCGATTGACACGTAACGTTCCGAGCTTCATCCGCTGAGCGACGTGCACATTGTGTTCCTAACAAGAGCGCGAGTTTCCCAACCCTCAAACTCTTTCATTGCATGCATGTTACACATCGATCGTTCGTTACGTATGCACCTTCCGGCGACGATCGAAAAACCTCATTAATGAGAAAAAATACTTCCAATTTGATAAGCAGAATCGCACGCAAAAAAAATTACTCATCACTTTGATTCGCGCGTGGCATTTAATAACGATTAATTTTTGTATCACTATTGATGTTATCGCTAATGCAATAAATGAATTACAATCGACATATAATATTTCTGGCAATACGATATTTCACAGACTCTTAATTCTATTGTAAAACTTGTATCTTTTAAAAAAATCGCTATTGACAAGACATAACATCAGTTGTTATTTAAAGGAGAATTATGCTGATAATGTTTAATGCGGAATTCTACATTAGCTTGATTATCTCGATACATTTATCACCGATGCCGAGCGAATACGACAAATTAATAACAGTCGATTGACATGTATTATTCCAGAATTGCATTTTGCAGTCTCCTAATTCCTTTATATTCGTGTGCCAATCGTTCATTGAGCGTGCGCTTTCGGAGATCAGGATGGAAAAATGTTATTAACGTGAGAGAAAAAGGGGTGCGGGAAAAAGGTATTTCGCATTTCGCGAGGTGGAAGGAGAGAAAAAGAGGGCCGCATTCAAAGGAGAATTTATCGGCGATATTTCTCGACCAGGCGACGTTGGCGTTGCGCAATGTCGGCTTCTGTCGATTCCTATTAATCATTGGCACACAACCGCGCGTAGTCGTATCAACACGCGGCAAGATACATGTCGGGAGTTTCTCATGCCGCGACGCGATCGCCACATGTGACCACAGTCCGACGTTCTCATGGCAATCGTATATCGGAACATCATGTGCGCGACACGCGTGTAACTAGCTTTCTTCTCTGCGCTCTTTCTCTCATTTTCTTTTTTACAATTACATTGCGATATCCTGTTGTCAGCCGACAAACGAGGCAGTTACTGTCATCATGATAGATGTTGAAATTTTGATATTTCCCCTGACAGAGAAGCAAAATTACAAGAAATTACGAAATTAGTTTTTCAATTCACGAGTATTCAGAAATACATTTTGAAAGTATTGTTAATAATATAGGTAATTATAGCTTTTAGCTAATTAATTTCAAAAAATGTATTTAAAATTTTGATCTAGTACCTGTGTGTACTGCGTGAGATATTTAATATTAAAGAGAACTTTATGAAAATAGTATTTAATTCAAACACGAGAGGGGAGGGAAAGAGAAGGAAGGGAGAGAGAGAGAGAAAAGGATTAAATGAAATTTATTTATAATATTAATTAAAGTTCTCTTATCGTT